TTTTTCTACAAAAGTTTGATTTGGATATAGTCAGGGGTGGGATTCTACCAGTTCACACCTATTCACTAGAACTGGTTGTTAACATTCTAAGCAGTTCAGAGAACCAGTTGTTAGAAGAAATTACTGGCCTAATCCTGTAAGGAAGGCAGGAAGGAAACATTCTGGTGTTGCTTACAGAAACTGCCTCTCTGTTAACCCTTATTACATTCTTGGCAGGACTAGATTTCCTGTCTCAGGGACTTCTCTGGAGTTTTTTCCCCCCTCCTTTGCTGGTACTTTGCTTGTGTGGAGTGACCATTCAAAATTACAATGGCACTGAAAAAGAGACTTATGACCATTTTTCACACTTACGACTATTGCAGCATCCCCACAGTCATGAGAGGCCAGGTGAGGAGATGCATGCCTCGATGTGAGTGATATTGAGTTGGCCACACCCAGCCAATAACATGACCACCAAGCCATGTCCACCAACTTAGCCATGCCCACAGAACCGGTTGTTAAAAAATTTGAATCCCACCCCTGGATATAGTATGTGTAGTATAACCATTTGGATAGAGATTCCTTTATTGTTGTATAGTATCTGACTTTGTTTGGAAATTATATGACATGTAAAGAGAACCTGTGTTAGAGAATATTCTAAATAACATTCACAAATGTGATAATAGTTCCCTATGAACAGGGTATATCTCCTGTTAATGAAAGGAATAAAAGCAAAAAGAAGCTTTTGCTTTAAAAATGTTTGTTTTGCCTTGTCTACCTCAAACAAGCTGCTGAACAAACTTCCAAAGTTTCATTTTCTCTTTGAAGTGAACTGCCAAATTACTGTTCAATGCAGAATATAGTGTGTCTTCATCTAGCTGGCAAAAGAACTGTGCAGCTGCTGCAACTGAACTCATTCAGTTGAACACTGTGACTCAAGTCATCCTATTTATTTAATATCAGCAGAGGTGGAAGGAAGGCAAATACGGTGTGGCTATTTCAAGGGTGCTCTTAAACACATCAAAAAACACTTCAGCATGAGGATCGTCTCACTTTTTTTAAAAAAAACACCCAGATTTAAGGGTGTTTTTTTTAAAGTGTAAAATCAGTATTTTACATTTTGTTCCTGCTTTGTTTGTTTTTTAGATTATTCAATGTGCTCTCCATTTTTTTGCATTCATTTGTTAATCAAATATAAATAGCTGTGCATCTCACTAGAGGCAATTTTGGCAATGCACAACAATAGCAATATATTCCATTCTTTATGTTGTGATATTTTATGCTGTGGGCTTATACTCAATATCATTGAAATGAATGGCTTTGTATAAATAACTGTGTTAAGCCTTCGTGAAGTAGGTGCTCCAAGCTACTAATACAGTGCCTCATTCTGTGGAGAAGGCTAATTGTAGTTTGTGTGAAATTACTGTTGCAATTTATATCTACAATCAAAATAATTTTACTGAACACATCTATATTGCTATACGTGAGAGTAGAAAGAATAATTATCAGTTCAAACAGTTTTTCCCTTTTTAAGTTTGCAACGTTCATGTATATTTAATTACACAGCTCCAGTTCATAACGCAGTAATACTCTTATTTTATTTCACCTTCAGTTTTATGGATTCCCAGCTCTTCAAATCAGTATGTTTTCTCAAGCTGATAAAAGGTGGTTTTCCTTGTCAGTAAATGGAGATTGAATGTTGTTGTTTTCATACCTAGTACATTTGTTATGGTATCAATAGCTTTTCTTTTCTATGGCTGGATTAGGTTGCGTCCTTTTAATAGATCAGCTAAATAAATAAATTTTCAGAAAAGGGGACATACTTTTTTGCAGATTTTAGTATTATATGTTTCCTTTGATTTTGTTAAAAAATAGGGATAGTTCTTCAAAATGCAGCATGCTACCATAGTATAGTAATTAAGGAGTATTTACTCAGCCCCATTTCAGAGGAGCTTCATATTGCCTTGACTCAGTAGATGGCAGCACCTGGATGGCTTTGTCTGGATTAGGAAACCTGAATAGGGCTAGTCCTGGTGAATCTTTAGATGAGAGATTTCCAGGAATGTAGGGATGTCACCTAGACCATGAAGATGAGGGAATCTCTGGAAAGACAACAGCAAGCAATCTCTGCTATCAAGAAAATTACATGGATATTTCCATGAAGACTAGGCTGAATTAAATGAAGAGTGAAGGCTCCTGGACCATCCTGGCCAAAGAAAATAGAAGGCTAAATGCAAAGTGTATAGGCTTCCTTCACTCAACCAAGGAATAATTCAAATAAAGACAATGTATAAGAACAGTTTTATGCATGTCATGCATAGGAATCATTAATCAAAAGGCAAATTTGTTTTCATTTCATCTTGGTCTGAAAGGAGGGAATTGTATTGGGAAAATACAGATCCACAGGCATGTGTTCTCCGATTCCTTGTCAGTGCCCTGATAGTTGGGATTAATGGTTGTTGGTCCAAAGTATCAGGAAATCACTGTATTACAGAAGGGATCTACTTTGCTTGAGGGTAAATTGCCATTTTCCAGCACAAAAGATGCAGTAGGACCCTCACAAAAGGACTGTTGGCTTTAAAATGTAAATTAGATGAGTGTCTTCCTTTTTTGTACAACAAATTATCTGTTGAATTTGATGGATCATGCTTTTGTCCCTGTGTCCAATTTTTCTACTTCATATGGATTCAGGATGGATACTGTAAAAAATAGGATGCTTAATTTCCTAAGTCTAAAACCAGAAATAGTCTTCTTTGGTTCTTAATCTAACTAACAATGAGATGTGCATTCAGACCACATTCTTTCAAATACAGGAATTTCACAGATGGCTATTAATTAGGGGACTGATATGAAAGCATGTGGTAGTTCGAGTTTATAATTTTGTAACACATAATTAAGACTGATCATTTTTGATTGTATAAATTGGAAAGATATTGTAGCTAGGAGAATAGAGCTATGTGAATCACTGCAATCTACATTCATTTAAAAAGTCTTTTTCTGAAACAGTAATAAAAGAAGGATAAAAGTTTGGCTGTTACTAAATTTGGTGAGGGGGAAGTATTGAAAAGATGATTCCAAAGATGATTGTAAGAATGATAAAACTTTAGCTACATCTATCCTGGAATATGAATTCATTATTAATAAAAATATATTAGTAAATTTTCCTTATATCAAACCAAGTAGGTTTTTATTATTATGGTGATTGCACACTCAATCGGATGCATTTTTATCCACCTATCAAGATCTTCCGAAGGACTTGGGATAGGCAAATATTGCTCTTTAATAATAATAAAGATATTGTAATTTTGAACTTAGATTCACAGTTTCATACTGGTGGAAACTTAACAATTCAAGTAATCGAAGACCTAAGCAACCTCTTGGATATTAATTTTTAAGGTAGCATCTAAGAATATAAAAGTTTCTAACCAGGGTGGGTGTTTTTTCCTTTTGTTTTTTATAAAATCAGGGATAAGTTGGATAAATTCAATATTAAGAAAGTCCTTTCGGTATTTTTCTAGGGCTCCAATCACAATTGTCTTTTTGTTTGGGAACTTAGATCTCTGAAAGTACAGGAAAGATAAGAGAATAAATATCAATCTTTAACATATGAAAGTTGAAGGATAAAATAGAGAAGGCATGTTCTGCAGGACCAAACTATTCTGTGCAACTTTTGGAAATCAAATTTGGGGCAAGATGCTTTTGTCAGTTTATATGGACATAGGAAGTAAGTAGAGTTTGGTTCGATTCTGAAGAATACAGTGCTGTCAAAATGTAATTACAGGTAGTCCTTGACTTATGACCACAATTGAGCCCAAAATTTATGTTGCTAAGTGACAAATTTATTGAGTTTTGCCCCATTATGATCTTTCTTACCACAGTTGTTAAGTGAATCACTGCCATTGTTAATAACACGGTTGTTCAACGAATCTGGTTTCCCCTCAACTTTGCTTGTCGGTTGCAAAAAGGGGATTACATGACCCTGGGACATTGCAGCTGTCATAAATATGAGTCAGTTGTCAAGCATCCAAATGTAAATCACATGACATGGGGATGCTGCAACGATCATAACTGAAAAATGGTCATGACTTTTTTTAGTGCTGTTGTAACTTCAAACATTCACTAAGTGAAGTGTTGTAAGTTGAGGACTATCTGTATATGGGAAATAGTTATAGTTTATGTTAAAAATTGGTAGGTTTGTATGGTAACATTGTTTAACTTTTTGCTAAACAGACTGATATTGGGTACCATAATTGGGACAGTGAATGGGAGAACAAGGCTAGAACCAACTGTGCTGTCATTCATGTGTTGGGAAAATAAAGCTTGAAGAGAAGCAGCCAGAAATGTGAAAGAAATTAGGGGAATTTTGAAAAGAAGATTGTGTTGGTTATGGTTGGCTCATTAGCTATTTTATCTTAATTATTCAGCTGCAAGATGGTAATACTGTAGAATTGGAAATGTATCTCACCATATCCAAGATGTAAATCTAGAAGCAAAACAATTTAAATGTGTAACATATTTAAGGAAATTTGTTTTATTTATGCCCTTCTTGTGACATCCTTTGCATTGCACGTGGCAAAAAAGAACTGATCCAGTTCTGAATTAACAAGCAGGAGTGAGTAGGAGCAGGAAGTGGCTGAAGATAGGTTGAGTAAAACTATTCCTACAATGATGTGTTCAGTTTGGATGTTGCAATTGAGGGAGGATTCAATAGAACTTCATAAATATCTATAGGCAGCATCTGTGATATGATCCCCATGGCCATTATTTAATAATTTAAAAACAAGCAGATACTATCACACATTGTTTACATAATAAAAGTTGAGGAATTGATAGCCTTATAACCGGCAGAGAATGCCAAGGAATTACTCAGTTTGGTTCAATACAGCACAATAGTTCTTGCATGTCAACATTTCTCTTCATATAGATATTACCTCAAACATGTAGGTAGTGACTGCCCCTAAATAACTTTAATTGGCTCACCAAATCTTTGCTATGGAAATGCTTGCTTTCTATGGTTTCAGGTGACTTCTATACGGCAAGAATATGAAACCAAACTGAAAGGTCTAATGCCAGCATCTTTGCGACAAGAACTTGAAGACACAATTCTCTCACTAAAATCTCAGGTAAAGAGTTTATGTTCTATTTGTCAGACTAGTACAGCAGCGTGTAATCTAGGATTTGCTAGTTCAAAGAGCTGACAAAAATATCTATAACATGCTGGTATAAGCAATGGAGTTTGACAATTAATAAATAGCTCATCATCTCTACTTCTGGTTTTTTCCCCCCCTCAGCTAGTCCCAACCTTCACTCACAAGAGTTCAGTTTTTTTCTCTCTGCACCAATATAAAGAAAGACATTTAGCCTTTTTGATCTCTTAAGTGATGATGGCTCTAGCATTTGATATTTAAACATGAACATACTTTTTTTAAATTTGATAGTTTTTGCATAAACACCTTTTGTTTTTCAAGCATGCATGGCTTCTGTAAAAAGACATTGGTGCATCAGGGAGAATAGTTTGTCTCTGCTTACTATTGTCAGCATGGTCCCACATTGGAGTTTGTGAAGTTACATTTTTCAGTCTGTTGTTGAACAAGCAAACATTCCAATACCGTGATGTACTAATTCCTCTTCAAGCAAGAACGTTTAGAAGCTACTTGTTACTTGGAATAATTTTGCTACCCTGACATTCCTTTAATACCAAAGGTTTTTAGAACAAGATCAAGTGGATGAATGGTATTTGTTAAATCAATTCACACTTTATAAGGTAATCATCAACAAAAAATTTCTTTTGCAATAGATATATTTAGTAAAATAATAGCCGGTCAGAAAACTATATGAACCGGTCATATGTAACTTCCTGTAATTACTAAGACATTGATAGGAACTAAACTAAAATCAAAGACTAGAAAACCTTCAGTAGTTACATTTTTCCGATTCACATAGTCTCAAAAAGGGTTGTTATTATTTCATTTCTCATCTGGAAATGGTGCACTTGGATTTGTCACCTTGTAATACTATTTCTAAAGGAATTGCCATGGCAAATGAGTATGATAATGGCAGGTGCTTTATGGGTATTGTTGATACTATCACTGATTTTGAGAAGGAATTCCTGCTGGTGCTCAGGTTCATCCAGTATTGCCATTACAAATAATAAAAGGGAAGAACTGATTATCTAGGAAATTGGTTAATAATACGTGTGATTTATGACTGGCATGCAAACTTACCATTGTTAGCAATTGAAAAGTCCCCAGGTTCCAGTGAAGTGAATTTGGGGTCGAAATTTGATTTCAGTCTTCAAAGCTTCTGCTAGCATACATAACATTTTAAAGGAGTAAAAGTAACTCCACACTTTTAAAAGTGAGTGCTCATATACAAAGCATAGCTCGCAGCTGCCTGTGCAGTGAACTACAATATCCAGCTACAGGCTGTTCTCTCAACAGCTTCTGAAGCACAGGTGTCTTCTCTGAAAATTGTTGAAATTCCTGTTTCAAAAACATCAGCCAGAAAGAACAGTGGAATCTTTGCACCTGTCAGGACTGTGAATTGTTCCAGAGGAATGAGAGGTCTGGGTTAGGTAAAAACACCAACAGAGCAGCAGTAACAACGAACAAATAGGAAACATTCACTTCTCAAACAAAGCTCTGCTTATATTTAAAATATGCTGGCTGCCTCAAGCTCCTCAATTTTGAGGCTTTTCACTGTGTTCTTTGTCTTCTATCCTAGCACTTTGCTAATTGAACTTTTAGAGCATGCTTATAACCTTACTTTCCCAACAGAGTTTTTGACCACCCTTCAAAAGTAGAATCCTATGTCTGTGTCTCACAAAGACATGTGTAATCCATTAATGTTGATACTTAAATTGCATCAACTTGGTATTCTTATGCCAGTGTTCAGCTTTGAAATCTTTGCATTTCTTGTAAACAAAAATTAGGGATTGCATCCCCCCCCCCAAAAAAAAAGTGTAATACCACATGAACATAAGAACATGGACAGTATTCTCAGAAGATGAAATCCACTTGATCCCAATTTAGGCTGTTTGACATTGGGACATCAATCCCAAGATTTTCAGGCCATAAACAGGGCTTAAGCAATATTTCTGAGGAACCGCAAGCAGATCTATTCATAAATCTGTTATATACTAGAAGCTCTTCAGTCACAACAGCTGTATTTTCTAGGTAAATTTTTTACGAAAAAGAGCATCGATTCTACAAGAGGAACTGAGCACATATCATACCAGAAGGTAAGCTAGTATCTTTTACTCCAATTGTTAGCTTGCTTTTAGTAAACACAGCCACTTCAAAAAGTTGTGTATCTATAATTATGCAGTTTAGTAAGTCTGAACAGCTGGCGGGTACAAATCTGATCTGGGCCTTGCTTTAGCACACCTGAGACACTGGCTCAGTTTATGGTTACAGGGCTATGAAGTGGCACCATCTTTTGAGATAAAGTACAATGATACAGTTTATAATCTTCAAGATTGCATCTTTAAAGCCCAAGATCTTTACCCTCCTTGTCTTTTTTTAGATTGTTCTCCTGTTATGCAAAAAAAAAAAAGGACAAATGTTGCAATAACAGCCCAAAGGTGCTTTGTACTCTTTGAAAAGAATGACTCACAAGAATGTTTATGTCACTTCAAAGTGATGTCACTGCTTTCTTTCTTTTTTTCTTTTTTGCAAATTAAGAAGAGTCTTGACTTCTGCAACATTTCTGTTGGGTATAAGATATGTAAATACCAGTTAATTAAACTAGAAGGCATGACTCTAATTTAAAGCTAGATCATATCTACTACGTAGGCCTTTCTATAGACTTTTGCCACACTTCAATTATGTTGCAAGATTTGTGCATAAAATTCTGGTCCAGTTTAAACTTGAATATTTTATGCACAAACCAATGTAGCTTACAGCCCTGGGATTTTCTGTTCGTCTGTCATCTAAGTACTCAGAGTTTTGATCAGGATCAGTCGAGGTCACATAAGTGTTGCCATCTGCTATGATGAAACTTCAGATCTTACCTCCATAACCTGCTTTCTGGTCTTCAGTTGTTCTCTTCCTGGTAACCATAGTTTCCCAATTGAAACCATAATTGAAAATTATTCTGAATTAATCCAAGAAGTCTTTCATTTTAGTACTAATATCTGTGTAATGGGGCATTGTTTCCAGGAAGTGAGAAAAAAATCTAAAAGATGTTAGGATTATCTGTTGTACAAAATAAATGGATAATTGATGAGAATATTTTATTCTTTAGGTAATTACTGAAGGTGACGGTTTGATTCAAGTGTCGAATGGATTTCTTTCAGCAGGTTTGAAGATTTGGATCTTTTGAATTAATCTGGGAGATCAGTGACTGTTCTATAAAATTAGATTGTGTAATTAAGGAATAAAAGTACACCCTTATTCATTACAGTATTTTAAGTTACTACTACACATTTGAATCATTTTATCATAAAGATTTTATGTTTTTGATATATTCACTAACATATACTTTATTAATTTACATATGAACAACATAATTTTGTTTGCTCACATTGCTTTTGTCCCTTGTTTCATAATGCAGTTTTTTAAAATACATGCTAAAATCAAGTCCTTATTATATTATATTGTCCAAAACATGTTAAAACCTATATGGTATTGCTTCATGTTCTTATGTTACATTATTAAAATAGTTTTGTACATTTTTGTTTCAATATTATTTCTGTTTATCACATTGTATTTACTGTAAAAGGTATCTACATCAAAGTATAAACATTTACAAAATTCTTTTGTTGTAGTTTGTATGGCAGGATACAGTTTTTAAGTCTGCTGATTATGGATATAGTTTTGGCTGCTCAATTTGAATATAAGTACTAAGAATATATGTTTTATTCTGGAACGGCTCACTTCTCAATAATATGGTATAGCATGAGAGCTAAGATCAGGGATGTCAAACTCGATTTCATTGAGGGCTGCATCAGGGTTGTGTTTGACCTCGGGGGGCCGGAGTGGACGCCTGTGGTGGCTTGAGCGCTCTGCCAGCGAAAACATGCTCCCTAGCTCCATTTTTGGCTGCGATGGCCTCCTGCAACCCTCTGCCAGTGAAAATGGAACTAGGGAGGGTGGCCCTCCTGAGCTCTGTTTTCACTGGCAGAAGCACCACAGGCCGGTCCTTCGCTGTTTCCAGGGTGGCCCTGCGGGCCAGATCTAAGCACCTTGCGGGCTGGATCTGGCCTATGGGCCTTGAGTTTGACACCCTTGGCTAAGATAGTTTCACAGAGTGGACAGTGAATTCTTTCTCCTGATCTCCTTCTTTAGTATATAATTATATGGTTTGTTTCCTTGTGCCATTCCCATTTCATGTACTTTTGCTATTTCCAATGCCATGCATAGTTATTAATACCTGCTGTGATTAGGAAGTAACAAGCCTAAAAAGAACTATTAATATTTCCATTACAAGGGACTAATTACATGATTGCATATTTCCACAAGACACTATGCACCGCATCCAATCAATCTTCTGAAATCATTACGTGAGAAAAGACCACGTTTACTTGATTTTAAAAATCTAATGCTTAGGTGAGTGATAAAAGAAAATATATTAAATAACAGTCTATTTCTGAGTACATGATATCAACTGTAAGGAGGAATTTATTTACCTCTCTAATATATATAGATGTAGCAATTAGATCTTTTGGTCTCTCACAACTGGAGAAGCTCTGTGTACAAATATTAAAATACCAAACTTTTGATTACCAAGTATTTTGACAAGAAGATTTGAGCGATAGTTTTTATTTTCTGGAGAATCGGAATTATAATATTTTAGTGCATTTGACATTCTTACATCTTTAGAATACTTCAGGTGCTTTGTCTAGTTGACTTTCTTATGATCCTATAAAGTGAATGACAATTATTATCTCCTATTTTGCAGAAGAGGGATAAAGGAAAATTTGCCTAAGGTCATGTCATTTGTTAATGGCAGAAGAGTGTTTCATATCAGGAACTCCCTGATTTATGAATTACAGTTATAGGTTTATTAATATTTTCACTTACTGACTGCCTATGGCATGTGCTAATTTCAGAAAGTACAGTGGAAGTTAAAGACTGCTTTGCATATTAATTCTTCAATAGTAGTTCTATTGATGACTTCCTCATCTTCTGCAATTGAGTTTCCCTCATTATTTCCAGCTATACTCACTGCAGAATTCAATGAACATATAGATAGTCTTCAACTTATGACCACAGCTAAGCCCAAAATTTCTGTTACTAAGCGAGACAGTTAAGTGAGCTTTGCCCCATTTTATGATCTTTCTTGCCACCGTTGTTAAGTGAATCCCCGCAGTTGTTAAGGTAGCCATATGGTTGTTAAATCAATCCGGCTTCCTCATTGGCTTTGTTTGTCAGAAAGTTGCAAAAGATGATCACATGATTCCGGGACACTTTAACTACAGTTGCCAAGCATCTGAATTTTGATCACATGACCATGGGGAAGCTGCAATGGTCATAAGTGTTAAAAATAGTCATGTCATTTTTTTCAGTATCGTTGTAACTTTAAACAGTCACTAAACGAACTGTTGTAAGATGAGGACTACCTGTACCTATAATGTAGGATCAAGGGTTCACATTTCAGGCACTCCCAAACATGAAGGAAAGCACTATTAAGAACATGACCCCAGAATAAGAATTCTAAGCATTATGAACAAGCAAGCAAGGGCTATTAAATTAAAGGTTTAAATGCATGACTATAAATCAGGGATCCAGTTCGCAGCCCTGGACAGCTAGTAATGTGGCCCCACAATACCGTACATTTTTAACATTATTTGATTTTATATTATAAAACTATATTATATATGTTTTATATGTGGCCCAAGATAATTCCTCTTCACTCAGTGTGGCCCAAGCAAGCCAAAAATTTGGGCACCCATGCAATAAATGATAATGATTTGTTCTGTACTGTTATAGAAAACATGTGTTCCTTTGATTAACTATAGCATAGCCTGCCTTTTGATATTTCTAACTTTGAATTAAGGGTGAACCTACCTCAGTATAGATGCAGGATGACATTTTGTAGGATATATCTTGGAGCTTATAATTTAGAGATTTTTGAAGAATCCCTTCTTTCTCCAGCCTCAGGAAGCTTGTGGATTAAAGATATAAACTGAAGCTGCAGCATAGGTATTTTGAAGACCAAGGGCATCTGATGCAGGAGATGACCAGGCTGAGTCCGAGGGTAGGTTCAAACACACTATCAGAGAATAGAATAGAATAGAATAGAATAGAATAGAATAGAATAGAATAGAATA